GCATCACAATCCCTGACTTGAAATTATACTACAAAGCAACAGTAGTAAAATCAACATGGTATTGGAATCAAAACAGAGGCGAAGATCAATGGAATAGATTAGAAGATACAACCACAACTACAAACACACTCAACCACCTTATCTTTGATAAAGGAGCCAAGCAGGTTCACTGGAAGAACGACAGTCTCTTTAATAAATGGTGCTGGAAAAACTGGCTCTCCATTTGCCGAAAACTAAAGCTAGACCCATGTCTATCACCATGTACTAAATTAAAATCTAAATGGGTCAAAGATCTGAATATTAAAACAGAAACACTAAATCTATTGGAAGACAAAGTGGGTAGAAACCTTGGAGACATAGGAGTAGGTAGAGAATTCATGAACAGGACTCAAACCGCACGGGAAACACTTCCCAGAATCAATAACTGGGACCACATCTTATTAAAAAGTTTCTGCATGTCAAAAGAAATCTCCAGCATAGTGAAAAGAAAACCCACAAACTGGGAAAAGATTTTAGTGAACTCTCTCTCAGACAAGGGACTCTTGTCTAAAACATATAAAGAATTAAAAAAACTCAGACCTCCAAAATTCAAAGATCCAATCCAAAAATGGGCATCTGAGATGAATACGCAATTCTCAGATGAAGAAATGCAAATGGCAAATAAATATATGAAAACATGCTCATCATCATTGGTCATCAGAGAAATGCAAATTAAAACCACACTGAGATTCCATCTCACTCCTGAAAGAATGGCCAGGATCAAGAAAACCAACAACAAATGCTGGAGAGGATGTGGGGAAAAAGGAACTCTCCTGCACTGTTGGTGGGAGTGTAGACTGGTACAGCCTTTGTGGAGGTCTGTCTGGAGGTTTCTCAAAAAGTTGGGATTGGAAATCCCATTTATTCCAGCTATTCCACTTCTAGGCATATTCCCAGAAGAACTGAAAGCATTATACCACAGTGATTTATGTGCACCTATGTTTATAGCAGCACAATTTGTAATCGCCAGATCTTGGAAACAACCCAAGTGTCCATCAACTGAGGAATGGATAAAAAAGTTGTGGTATTTCTATACAATGGAATATTATTCAGCTATAAAGAAGGATCACATTGAGATATTTATCAATAAATGGGCGCAGCTTGAGACCATACTCATAAGTGAAATAAATCAATCTCGCATGTATGAATACCGAATAGTTTCCCTAATGTAAGTAATGATTCAAATATATGAAAATATGTGGCAATCATGATTCCCCATTATGTGGCCTTGAAGCCTTATAAAATTTTCACTTATTAATTAGAAAGGCTTTATTCCGGGCTTCTTGATATGGAAATATTTGAAGCTATAGTATATGAAGTTTTATCCAAATATCTCAAGGAAAAAGACAGACACTATGGTAACTATTATTCTTTAAAAAAATTATTTAGTTATTTCTTATGTTTATTTTAATTAAGGGAAAAATTTAAAAAATTAGGATATATAATAGTAACTCTTTTCGATTTCCTATTAACTTGTTTTGAAGTCCTGTGATGCTCCCACGATCTTGTTTTGACTGATTAGACTCTGTTCCATTCTGTGGGATAGTATCAGGTCTGAGGGTATAGGCAACTACTTTGAAGGCAGTAAGATTCACTAAGATACCCATTCTGGTTTGACTATTGTCTCCTTTGGAAGTCCTGTAATGTTTACAATGTCTAAGTTTTATTGGTCTTGTTCTCTACTGTTTTGTCCAACTTTATAATATCTAATGAGATAGACAAATCTTTTTAAGGAAACAAGAGACAACGTTGATAACTATTGTTAATAACCGTATACTCTGTTCTACATCATGTGCTAAGTCTATCCTTGGTTTTCACTGACAGCTTGGTTCTGCCATATTTGACTTTATTCTCCCCCCCCAAAAAAGTAATAAGAACTAAGGAGTAATAAAATCTAAAATGTGTAAATTTTGTTGTAAAAAGAGAGGAAGGGGAAAAAAGAGCTCTAACGGATATAACAGCAAGTGTGTATAGGGATGTTGAATAGCTGACTATATTAATGTTTTTGGATCATTGAACACAGCTGTTTGTAGTCTCTCTGTTTGAATGTCTACTTTGTATTCTTTGATACTGTGATTTGAGCAACTATTTCCAAGATGATAATATGTAATCTATTAACAGGTGATTTCTTACTGTTATGCTTTTTTTTGTAGTTCTGTATTATATGTAACCTTACACTGCTTTGTTTTGTTTTGTGTTTTTCTCTTTTTCCTCTTAAATAAAAAAAAAAAAAAAAAAAAAAAAAAAAAAGAAACACCACAGGACTTCTCCCCCACTGTGGGACAGGCCAGGCTTAGGGGCTGAACGGCTTCTTAGGAGACTCCGCAGCATTTCTCTGCTTCCCTGAGCCCTCCAGCTTCTAAGAACCACTGCCACAAGCAAGCTGGAGAGAAGCAGGGAATGTGGTCAGTGCTGACTGGGGAAGATAAAGCATCCTGGAGATGGGTGGCAGGGACGCTGCGCAACAGTGTGAATGTGATTAATGCCGCGGAGATGAATAAAATGCTCAGTTTTATGTTATGTACCATTTTTTTTACAAGAAAAAATAAAAGTTAAAAAAATAGAAAAGGAAACAATGTCCAGATGGAAAATCAGCTAGGAGAAAATTGCAAGTCCAGAGGCACAGGATGGAGCCCTGGGAGGAACCTGCTGGGCGAGTCCATCCGCAGCCTTCACACAGTAGCGAGGAAACAGCTTGGCAGGACCAAGGCTACTGGGGACTGGGGCGGGGAGGGGCTGGGGTGGGGGTGGAGGAGAGCCCCACACAGTACCAGGGCTGCCCTGCTCCTGACGAGCGCTGTCTTCAGCCCTGAGTCATCAGCCAGATCGCCCTTCTAGTCTGGGGCTCTTTCTGCTACCCTGTGTTGCCAGCTCACTCTGCTCTCCCCAGCTCAGACCACATGAGACAGAAGGTCAAGGAAACAGGAAGTTTCACATTAGCCAGTATGAATGGGGCAACGCACTTGTGCAAAAGCTGTGCGACTCTGGGACATTCTTTACAAAGGAAACCAGAAAACAGCAGCTGGAATAAAAGTTAGGTAGACACAAGAAAATAGCCATAGTGATAGGGGGCCAGTGTGTTTCAGTTTGAGGTTAAAACTGTCTTGAGCTATACAGGTCTACAGTTGAGAAACACGAGGTTCAGAGAGGGTAGGTAACTTATCAAGATCACAAAGCTTATGAAGCCAGAACTGGGACTCAAACTCCAGAATCTTAACCTGAAATCCAATGCTCTCGCTACCACACTGAGGCTGGAGAGCAGAGAATGGTGAAATAAATGACAAGATCAAAATGAAAGGCGGGGTTTAGGAGTGGGAATGAGCTGAGTGAGATTCCACACCATCAAACCTCACTCCCACCAGGATCACTGGGTCTGACTGGCTGTCACTGAGCTGTGGCCACATGGGCCCCATCCCTTGCTCACCTCCTGCTGACCAAGACCCACCACCAGAGTCACCAGAAGATCTTTGGTGGAGAATCGTTGACATGCAGACAATGGCTCCCTAACACTGACCCAGTGTGGCCTGGCCTTCCTTAAGAAGGAAGAGAAGGTGAAGACCTAGGTTTTAGGGCCTAAATGTGGCTCAAGGCCTTATGAACATGGGCTTCTTTTGATCCAGCCTCCAGGGCTGTGTCCAGCACAGACAGACAGACAGTACCATCTTCATAAAAGACTGTGTCAGGGCTTCCAGAAGCCTGCACCATATCAATCACAGGCATCAATACTAGCTCAGTCCAACACTGCCCAACCCCTCAGCTGCAACAGGAAAAAAGAGGTGGCCAGAGGACAAAACACCTCAGAATGAAAGCTCACCGGCACCCCTGCTCTGCCCACTCCACACCAAACGAGCCACAGAAAGGGAAGGTACCTCCCTAAGGTCACACAGCAAGTTAGGACCAAGCACACGTTTCTCATACAGCTGCAAAATGAAAACCAAAGAAAATATGTCTTTCGAAGGGGGAGGAAATATGCACCAACAGACAAGAGAAAAAGCCAAAGAAGTAGCCCCAGAGGATTCAGAGATAAGAAAAGAAAAACAGAAAGAGAACTCATCAATTAGAAAGCAAACAGCTGGAGCATCGAACGTTCACTGAAGACTATCTGTGCTCTGTGGAAAAATATATCCTGGGGAAAGGTGGGAGTTCTAGAGGAGATGAGCAAGGCAGGACTGGGGTGCAGCAGCCGCTCCAGCCCAGAGTGACCTTAGGAAGCTGTGAGGGCCAGACCTCAGGGTGGGAAGCTCCCAGAGCCAGGAAATATGAGCTAATTTGGACACAGAAGAGGGACAGACAAAGGTCAGAGGTTCCCCACAAGAGGCAAAGGGGGCGGGGCTCACAAGAAGCAAAGAAGGAGAGGAAGCAGCAGACAGGAAGCTGGGTGTAAACGGAGATGGAGAAGAGAACCAGAGCAGACAGCAGGATACAGACTGATGTCCCATGCTGGGGGCTGAGGGTCCCTGCGCAGGCAGCAGAAGCTCCTGGTTCCCACCCACACCGAGGCAGTGCCGGGCCTGTTGGCACCAGGATGAAATCCCCACTGCTCTGAGCCACAGCAGCCTCATGAGCCATGTGATTTGGGAGGAAACTGTGTATTAGTGACACTCATATCTCACGTCTCTCTTTTCTAGAGGGCAAAGTATCAGGTTGAGCTCTGGGCCATACGTGAAGTTTCATCTTGAGCACCACGTGAGAATAATAGCGCTCCTGCTGGGGAGGACGTGTCACTGAGGACTTTTATCACAGTGACCCCACCTGGAAGCCCCACAAGTGGGTGGCCAGCCAGGGGGTTGCCACATTAGTTGTGCTGACAGCTGGCCTGCTTCTAAGATGGCCATGGTGAGATGTGTAGATGCACCCTAAACCTGGCCACTCCATTTCTGGGCATCTTTCCCAATCACATACCACTGAGGAGATGATGAAAGCACCCCACACTGTCCCCACTTCTCAGAGGCCCACAGTACCTTGAGGTTCCCTCGGTCCAAGGCGGCAGTCAGATGCTTGCGGACCTCGGTCAGCTGGGGCCTGGGGCCTCGGGGACTGGCACCCTGCCTTAGGGGGTGCTCCTTCAGGTACTGCTCCAGCTTTGACTCCCCGAGAAGAAGTTCTGCCATGTCATCTGCAAAACAGAGTGAGAGGCTACAAGGGAAGCTCCAAGGACCTCAGCACTCCCACATCCCAAGCCTCCCGCCTCCAGTGAGGCTTCTGGGGCCTCAGAACCTTAGACGGGCTTTGCGTAGGCCCCCTCGTGCAGTGGACTGGGTTCACCACACAGGGTGCTCCAGCAGCGCTGGCCCAAGCATTCAGTCCTCCCACAGTCACACTAATTGACCCTCAAAGTCAGGTACTTAGTGGATAGAGTTCAAATTCAATAGGGAGAAAACCAAGCCGACTTATGACAATAAGTCATACCATGACCTCACAAAGCATACACAAAACCCTTGTGCAATGCATTCCCAAGGGTTTGGCATTAAGATCTCCTGGCTCTTCTGTATTCTGTGGCCTCCTACACAGACAGGAGTTGGCAGAACCTCTGTACAGTCAGACTCCTAAAGCAGATGTATGTCAAAACCATACAGACACACCTGGGAATGTCTGTAGGAAGCGTTTACTCCTAAGACAACATACTCAAAGTGTTATAATTTCCCTATTGTCTGTGTTGGCTTGTGAATTAGAATAAAAAGTTTGCTTGAGGAGTAGGTCATTGGAATCCACATACCCAGACTGTTTTGAATGAGTGCAGAACTGTTCATACATTAGCCTGAACATGACCTATGTTTTCTGTCATTCAGAACATAACTGTAATTAAAATAGAAAATTGTCTTTTAAAGATTAAGAAGGCTATGTCTCAATCCCATGATAGCAACTACTGCTGGAGTACAGGGGAGACCACCGTGGGAGCTAATGACCAAAAGAGACCTTAGCTTTATCCATAGCAATGGTGATAAACTTACGGCACGCATGCTACAGTATTTGTCTTTGAAGATGAAAGCTGTTAATGTATGAGTTGTATTTTTCTAAACCAGAACCTCAGGATTGAGGTTTAATCGCAATGCTGGCGTTTTGTGATAAGTAAATGGGTTTGGGGTTGCAGTTTGGGCACTAAAGATTCACCATCGCTGATCTATAGTAACATTCTGGTTCTAGAAAAGAGAACTGATTTGCCTATAATGTTTGCAATTTAAAATGAATTCCAACAGTAATCATGAGGAGAGAATCTTGCTGAGACTCTGAGTAGACAGCCCAACAAAGGCACCGAAAGAGCCATTTCCAAGGCTTCGTGTGAGCTGACTCAGACTGCAGTCCAGAGGCCTCAGCAGTGCTCTGTCTGTGGATGTAAGACCTAGAATCTGGAAAACAGCAAACTACACCAAAGCAAAGCAGCAGTAAGCTTCTGTGCTCAAGATTTCTGAAGAAAACCAAGTGGCCTAAAGCAGCCCCCAACAGCAGAGGACGGGGAGGCGGTGTCCCCTCGGGGGAAGGCAGCAAGGTGCAGTCCCCACAAATGGAGCCAGCCGAGATGCCAGGCAGGTGGCAAAGCACCGAACAGCCCCTTGGAGACACAAGCCCTCCTGGAGAAAGGAACTCTTCCTCAAGCCAGGGTGCGTTTTATTCTGAGCACTTCTCAATTCGAACTTGCCACAGTTCAAGTGGCCTGCAGCCCTCCATGGGGATGGCTACCACCTGGACAAGAGGACGCCTATTGTTTATACAAGTACGTCTGAGTATTTATCTCTACATCTGTCTGACCCAAAAAGAGGTCTAAAATAAGTATCATCCAGGATAAATGAGGAATTTCTGGGTAACAGAACTGGGAATATTGTTAAAAAATATCATCTCTGTAGTTTTAATTATTTATATGAAACAGAGCCATTTTCTATTACATTTAGGAAGAAAAAGGTGACTCTTCCTTAAAAGCTGAGAGATTGGATGTCAGAATATTATTTGTGGCTATTTCCAAATAGTAAGATTGTCAATCCATTCTGAACTTTTTTCCTGTATATTTTAAATTTCCAAAAAAAATAAAAGAGAACATTGGATTCCAAGTTCTAGACGTGAAGCCCAGTCTGTCCCTTTATGTCTTTGGCCCAATATCTCAGTGTTTTGGGGCACCTCTAAAAAGCACCTTTCTCTGTCTGAGCCGAAGATGCCCCTCCTTGCTGCTCCCCATGATCTCACCCCACCTTTTGCCTCCCCAATTCAGGATTCCGAGGGCCCTGCTGACTCACATCTAAAGTCGGCTAGAGGTACAGCACAAGCCATGCAACAGTGCACGGCCCTGGAAAGTGGCAGGTGATCTCAGGACAAGGCTGGAGAATCAAGCTGGGGTCACGACAAGGAGACATAGATGTCCCCCTCGGGTCACCCCCCCACAGGGTGATATTCACCATGCCTGGCATGGAAAACAGGTCCTCACATGGCCCAGCCAGCTCGTTCCCCACAGCCTTCAGAGCGCCTGGGCATCCTGGGGCACCATCTGCCATGCCTCAGTAAGCACCTCCTCTCTCTACACGCCCCAGCCCAAGCCACCTTGGCTGAGCCCAACCTGGGCGTTCGTTCATCTGCCTGCTCCCTCTAGATTATAAGGCACAGGCCTGAAGGAGGATCCAGGGTTGCAGGCTTTCAGAATCCCAGGTGGAGCACGATGTCTGACATACAGTCACTGCCCAATAAACAGGGAATTAACCCAATGCCAGGCAAAGGCATTTGGACCACGTCCTCGAGGTTAGACTGCTGCTGCCTATAGCACTCTGCTACGGTCATCCCTGAATATCTATTCTCACATTTCCTCTAGTATTACAATCCCTTCACGGCTGCCCAGCTAAAGACCCAACCTTCCCCAGGTTCCCAGACGCTGCACTTGACTAATTCGCAGCCGGCCCACAGGATGTAAACAGTGGCGCAGCCCCGGGCCACACCCTTGCGGGAAGGGGGTGCTCTTATACTACACCCAGAGTGCAATGAGAGCACTCACTGACCTCCGCACAACCACTTCAGACCAGGAGATGGAAGCTGCCAAGGATGAAGAGCAGCATAACAAAAGAGCCTTGGGCCCCCACACCCAGGAGCTGCCACTGAGTCCTGGGGGGACTTGTGATGAATTATATGCATCTTGCTCTTGAGAAGTTGCTGCTGTCCTAGCCTGTGTTATAAGCAGCCTAACTGCTGTCTTCACTGACCTCCCAAAAAAGCAAGCTTCCTGTTGAGAGCCTCTGTCTGACATCTTAACAGCACCTCTCCCCAAGTGTACTGGCTTCCAAACAGAGCTCCGCAGAACGCAGCTGAGCCCCTTTGGTTTTTCTGTGACACTGCTGTTACATGCTAGGTATGCACATTTTTTATTTAGACAAAGGATTGCATGGCTAAAAAGAAAGGGAAAAACTATTACCCGAGTGTTAGGCAAGATTTCTGTCCCTTGTGTTTCTCTGATCTCCTGGCGCTGGGGGAAGGCACCAGATTCTTGATGCCTACATGAAAGAAGGAGCCCTGCTCGAGCTGGAACAACCAGGAGGCAGAGAAGGCCTATTGTTCCAGATGGGAGTCAGAGGTTTTACTCAGAATTAGGCGGCAGTCCCATAGAGGTCCCTGTCTCTCAGGACCGTTCAACACAACATCAGCACTAAGGCAGGTGTGTACTGCGCTGGCTGCATTGGAGAGAAGGAGACAAAGCTTTCAGCAGGCATGTGTGCCAGGTGTGTGTCTGCAAGGTAGGACATGTAGGGAAAGGAGTAGGTAGGAACATTATATGAGAGACGAGATGCAGCCTAGTTATTTGCATGACTCCAAGCATTTGGTCAGAGCCAAACCCCAGAGTGCTAGGTAAGGATAAAGAGGACAGTCAGGGGCTTCCGACAGAAGGATAAGGATCAGCTCCTCAGTTCCAGAGGGCTGCATATTCCATGCAAAGAGCTTATGATTTAACTTGAAATACTGTATGCGGGCTGCAAAGTAATTTTTGAAATTTTTAAAATTTCTGGGCTCCAACTTAATCTCTCCAACAAATTATGTTACTTTTGTTCCCCTTCACAAGAGGTGAATTCCTTTTCACTCACACTTGGAACCAGGCAGGCGGATATAAAAACATTAAGAGCTCAGGCCAGAGAAACCAATCAGAGGCTGCAAGGTGGTCCTAGCGATGAGGGCACTAGGTGGCTGAGCCCCACTCCATGAGCCCGGCCTGCACTCGTCCACCGCTGCGGGGCTCCCGGTGTGCAATCCACTAGCAGCAGGAAGAAACAGGCACCACCTAACCAGCTTTTACTGCCTTGTTATGGCTCCCATTACACGCTAGGACAGAGAGGCAGGAGAGACACAGGGCACCCTGCGGCATTCCAGAAAATCAAGTCCAAAACAACAGAGGATCTGAGTGTTAAAACAGACTGTCACTTCCTGCCACGATGGAGTCAAATTTACTCCCACTTCCATTTAAAACCACTGCAGAAACAAGACAGATGGGATGAAAAATCAGTTTTCATGACACTGGGCATCTGGCAACATAGATGAGAGATGCCTGAAAGAGTAAGAAACACGGTGAGCCCGTGAATGCCGGGAGAGCTTCTACATGTGACACCAGGTCAGGGACTTTCTACTGGAATCCTTCACACAAAGCCTTCTGATCCAAGGAGGTGCCCTGCTTGCCCACCCACACAGGAAACACAACTGGGCTTTTCCCAGCTGCATAAGGAGCAGCTGCCCTGCAAAGTGGGCCAGGCGGGCAAGAGGTCTGCAGAATGAGAAGGCCCCACAGCACAGCATGGAGCAGGGCTTTGGCCTCAGGCAGCCTGAAGCTTAAATCCTGGCTCCCTTGCTAACCAGCTGTTGCCACTGGGCAAGACATCTGACCTCTCTGAGCCTTAGTTTCCTTAACTGGCTGGTGTGAAGGCAAATAATATATGCAATAAGTACATTATGAAGCAGTTGCTGATAAACATTAGCTACTACTACTGATATTTTCTTTCATTGAGGATCTACTGTTTCCCAGAGAGCTCTCTCTATAAGACACAATCCCAGCATCACAGCAGAGGGCCTGCAAAGTGGTCAGAAGACAGGAACCCTGGAAAATGGTCACTAACAGCCTAGCCATCCTGAGCTCCTCAACTGCTGTGCACCCTGCTAAGC